TGTGATCTTTTGGACAATAGTTTCCCTGTTATTAGTTGTTAGTTAATCGTGTTTAGTAAAGGTAATCACGGTCAACACTATTTACAACTCTGTAGACTATATAATTCTCAAAAAAAAATTATTAAAATTAAAAATTAATAGATTTATAGATACATATTTTTATATTTTTTTATCTCCTTAAAATTGATATCCGTTATACAATTTTTTTTTACAACTTAATATTGGGGTCCTGATATTACTAATTATAATTATTACTTTATGAAGTAACCTGTGGAGTCCAGCCCAATACATTTGTACTGGATTAAGTTAGGTTGACTCTTGTTTCACTATAACATGAGTTCAACCCAACTTATTATGTTTTATTAACAACCCTAATTATTTGCAGATATTTTTAGTATTGTATGTTATATAACTTTATTTTGTAACAACGTATTCTTTTTTTGCATTTCTTTTCATGATCCTGAGAGAGTTGTGTCTTATGGTATTCAGGAGTTTCATTTCTTCTGCACTTATGTCTTCTTTGGGGAAAATTATAGATAAGTATAAAAAATTTGTTTAAATCAAGTGAAACTTATAATATATTCTTTATTGATAAATTGATTTTTAAAGCTTAAATAAGATCAATTGATGTTATTGTAATACCAGCACTCATAAATTTTTATTTTTTGCCTTTGCCGATCTGTTTTGATCATGGGTTCACAATTTTATTAATTAGCAACTATTTGAAAGTCATGTGGAAATAATTGTTTGAAAACGATATTCTGTACAACTGTTTATTTCTTAGGAATAATTCAGGTAATCTGTACATGGCTTATAATAGAATAATTTGTTGTAATATAAAATGTGCGTTTGCAATGAATTTGAAACAATAAAATCAAAAGGAAATTTTAAGAATTGTAAAATAAATATTTAATTGTCAATTATTTATTACTTTAAATTTTATTTATAGTATAATACATTGATTTAAAATAAAAATTAATCAAATTTTAAATAACTTAATCTATTGTAATCTATAGTATAATACATTGATTCAAAATAAAACTTAATTAAATTTGAAATAAAAATAATTTATTAAATAATTTAAAAATAATTAATTCAATTATTAATTAATATCGCTCCGGACTTACTACGGTTCCCGTTTCCTAGTAATATTATAATTATAAAAGAAAAAAATACAATGATTAATCGTCCATTAACATTTGTACTCGACTATATAGTTAATAGTCAATTAATCGCGATTTTGTATTCAGCATTCTTAACACTAGCTCCGCTATTAATAAAGATTTTTGATTAGAGGAACGTACAATGTATCATGTGTTATTTTTCGTGTAATATAACTAATAATTTTTTCGGAATAATTTTCTTGACAAAAGTGATCAGCGTTACAAATTGTAATGCGCACATGATTTTTATTTTTATCTCCACTGCATTAATAAAGATTTCGCATTCGCATTTACTTTATGTACGTATATTTCGGAATTTATTCCAATGTTTTGATATCGATATATACTAACCCGCTTTGAACATATATAAAAACTGTGACAATCGGAATCACACTGTAAAATACATGTGATTGCATCCCAATTATGAAATCAAAAAATATGGTTTCGTGCATTATCAAATTAATAACGAAGAAAATAAGTTTTTAGATGTAAAGAAAATTATTGTATACGACTTATTTTACGAAGCTATTCACGTTTCTAAACTGCTCATCATATAAATCATTATTCCCGCGTCAATATTCGATTATTTTATTATATGATATATCAACCAATTATTAATATTATACCAATAGTTTTTCTCATTTATAGATTTCATATAAGAGATTGGCTGATTACATTGAAGAAACAGTAATGATGAGCAAATTCAACCCGAATTAGCAATTTAAAAAACCCTCTCAAGTTCTTGAATTAACATTTTGTAGTCTAATGACTCTATCGCATTATAAATACTATCCCATACATCTGATTTTCCATGAATACACCAGAATTCTAACAATCTCTTTGCTCGTTTTTTAATATTATCATTTTTATCAAAGGAAGGCCTGTTCAATGATGGTCTATGAAGCATTAAATAGAATGAACGTACGAAACATGTCAAGTCAACTTTTTCTCTCTAAACAATCTTTCCCCCCTCGATTAATGAATTCAGGACTTCGTCTGGCATACATTCCAACGCACCTGCAAATTCAGTATCTTCAATATTAAAAGTACTATACCCCCAATTAATAATAAGAATATTTCCATCTGAATCACGAAGAAAGTTATATTTCCTAAGATCTCTATATATAATTTTAAGTGAATGAACACCTTTGAGGGTTGTAATGATATCTTTGATATCTTTCTTTTGTAAATTATTAACCTTCTCACCACGTGGAGTCATAACAAGCGCGTCTTCATTGTAAAATAGGATCTTTACAATATGAAGTGATTTAAGTTCTGACAAAAGAACCAATGCATTTCTTTCCCTTTCAAAACAATGTAGATATTCCACCTTTCTTGCGATTTTAATGGCTACAGATTTATTATTATGCTTTCCCTCATATACAATACTAGTTCTACTCACACCAATAGTTCCAACCAGATTTACAGTTTCACTGCCGAATTTTAATGATGGTTCGACCCATCCCAAGGCTTCTGGAGTGCTTTTCATCAATGTTATCAGGTATTTCCACCCGTTATTCTTATTATTGTTATATTTTAAAGTTTGGGGCACTATGTATTCATACTTGAACAGAGTGATTGACTTTTTTCGGTCGTCAATCCTATGCACCTTATAGATATTAATTTGAATACAATCTGTCAAGATTAAAGCTCCTAATGAGCCAAGTCAAGCCGAGTTACATAAGATTTGGCTTGAGCTCAAATATTTAAATCTGGCTCGAG